ATATATATATACATGTATATATAATATAATCCCGCTAGTTATGACTATAAAAGGATCATTCAATTGGTTAATTCGTTATCGAAGTTGATTATTATTTCCTGATTTATTTTTAGGGTGATGTCCTGCGGAACAGTCTTTTGGCTCGTTATTTTGGAAGGAGTTTTATTCAAAACAGTAACTCAGTAGAGTTGGGAACTATTATTTTATTTTCGATGCACGGACCAGGAGGTAATGTAGAGTACTGTACTGTACTGAGTCACTGACATTTTATTCTTGCAGCAAAAATACTGAGCAGGGCTGGACGAACTTTACATGAGGTTCAAACACATCTTGATAGAGAAGGAGCTTCTGATTTGGTAGTTGAATTAGTGATAAAATCTGGAAATTCTCCTCGCATATTTACCGAAGCTGTTGAGTTAGGAATAGCATTATTAGAGGGTGGTAATCCGATTATACAAAAAAGTATGTTTACCAAATTAAGAGAGGGAGATATGAGTCAGTCATTTTTTAAGGTGAGATATTTATGAAATTTCAAAACATTGTTTTATAATGGACATATTCATTTAATTATTAACCTTATCACCATTTACAATAATAAGTAATAAAGCTATATATCAGAAAGATATATGCATAAAAACATTTCACTATTTCAAGGCATTCGATTTTCTTCGAATGTAAAATTTCATATCGCTCCGTTTTTATTCAGTGTCGGTCGCATCATCAAAGATAACAGCTGTAATTGAAATAAATGAGTTAACTAATTCAAAAATTTGAAATTCGTGCATTTAGGGATCTATTTGAGCTATATCGTATAATCACAAAATTTTGCAAATATAAGTTGAAATTTATTTATTCAACAGTACACAAAGCAGAACCACTTCACAAAAAAGAAAATGAGTGTGAATTATTCAACTTCAGACCTATATCAATCTTTACAAATTTCGATATATTTTCCAATCACCAACACGACTACCAAAAAAAAAGGGCTGTCAATTCTAATTCACTTCAGACAACATTGTGGAATCAATCGAGAAGGGAATTTAAGATAATTTAAGAAAACCTTCATTCAACAGCTTGACTTCTATCCGAAAAATAGAAAGCAGATGGTAAACCTCCAAATCAGAAAAATAAAACAGTAAAATTAAAGGTATTGGTACCTCGATGGGAGTCACGCTGGGTAGTATTATTGACCCAATATTCTTTATTGTCTTCAATAATTACATCAAAGGATTTATAAAAAATGTCAACTCCCTTTATATGATCAACTACGCCGACGATACCAACCTTCTGCATACAGGGTCCAAATTACCAGATATAATCAAGAACATCAAGAACAGTGACGTGATTGAAAAAATTATTTTCTAGAGCACAAGGTGGTCCTAAATTAAGGGAAAACAAATTGCATTATGTTCCAAACAAATGACAGCATAGAATTGTTACATTATGTAACTATGAAAATGAACAAATTGTCTGCAATTCCTCGATTAATAGGTTTTAAAATCAATGATACTTTTAGTAACACTCATTTTGAGAATCAATATTACTCATGTGTGTGTTTTATGCTTATTTTGAAACTCCATGGTATGTGTACGCATTGTGTGTATGTAGGAATGTGTATATATGTGACTATATATTTATTATTTGTATGTATTTCATTCCGATGTATGTATGAACACTATTGTGTAATGATATGAATTAATATCTATCTGTCAAGAGATCAATGGAATTTTATGATAGATTTTCCTGAGGTATAAAAACATTGAGATGGCTTTCAGATTTCTGAGGTCAGTAAGAGAATTTTCACCCAATCAGGAGCCTTATAGTATTGATAAATATTTTCAGAGTGTTACATTTACAATTTCATTCAGTGTGCATTGTGATTGTCGAAGTAAGGCAAAAACTGCTTTTAGAAGACCCGATTTATTTACTATCAAGTATTGTTGTAGCATATACTGTTACATTTTTAGTTTATTGTATTCATTTGAAAATGTCCGTATAGGACAAAGCTGCAGTAACGTTAGTTACACATACAAGTTGTAAGAAAACATAGAAAATAAATTGGTGGATGTAGCCGTTACTACGTGGTAGGAAATTATATGAAGAAAAGGAAAATGAAACTTTCTATATTTTTACCACTTTTATTTGTAACTAACNACCATCGTACAATATGGAGAAAAAAAAATATACAAATTCGTCAATAGGATACAAAATTGAACAGAGTTCATTCTTCCTTTTGCACCTTACAAAAAAAAGATGATAAAAAAACATGAAAAAAACAAATACCTACACAAATTTTTAAAACTATTAATTTCTACTCGCTCTACAATATAACTGTATTTGAAAATAATGATACCAATGAATTCACATTGAATATGAAGCAAATTTAAAAATACTTCTTCCGTAGGTATTTCATGACAAAATGAAAGATTCGCAGCAAGAAATTAAGTCCACTGTTACTGTCAATACTTCGGAGATGGCAGCGAAGGCCCATGAAGATAAGCATGACGAAAAAGAATTAGAAAAGTTCTCTAAAAAACAAAGTAGCAGAACCAATGGTATGTTGATTAGCCAAGACTTGAGAGAAGAGTTGATTCAGGCTGTAGATTCAACGTCCCAAGTATACTCGCGTATACGTGATTTATCTTCAGGAGAAGATGGAACCGTAACTTCGAGTGCCCCTACAACTTTTGAGGACTCTGAAAAATATGAAAAACAACGTGATCGCGAAGACCAAACTGGTTTGTCAAATAAAGTATTAATTATGCAACCTATTTTGAGATTTCTTCAGTTATTATGTGAAAATCATAATTCAGCATTACAAAACCTTCTTCGTAATCAAAATAATAAAAGTAATTTCAATCTCATATCCGAAACATTATTGTTTTTGGATTGTATTTGTGGTTCAACTACTGGCGGTTTAGGCCTTTTAGGGCTGTATATCAATGAAAATAATGTTGCTTTGATTAACCAAACACTGGAAACCCTTACTGAATATTGCCAAGGACCATGTCATGAGAACCAGAACTGCATAGCAACCCATGAGTCTAACGGCTTAGATATTATAACTGCATTAATATTAAACGATATAAATCCACTCGGAAAATGTAGAATGGATCTAGTACTGGAGTTGAAAAATAATGCATCCAAACTTCTATTAGCCATAATGGAAAGTCGAGGAGATAGTGAAAATGCTGAACGCATACTTTCTAACATGAATCCAAAACAACTAGTTGATGTGGCTTGTAATGCCTTCCACCAAGAAGCTGATGATGATGATGTAGAAGATACTGGTATGGATAATATGGTTTCTCCCAGAGAGGTTGGCCACAACATCTGGATATTATGTCATCAGTTAGCTCAACATAATAAAGAATTAGCATCTTTGCTGAAACGGTCCGATTCTGGTGATCCAGAAACATTAAAAGCTGTAGCATATTACGCACCTCACACTGCACAAATCGAAATTGTTAGACAAGATCGTACCTTAGAACAAATAGTTTTTCCTATCCCTGAAATTTGCGTATATTTGACAGATGATACAAAAGTGAGAGTTTTGAACACAGCCGAGAGGGATGATCAAGGTTCTAAAGTTGCTGACTTTTTTGATCGCACTGATCAAATGTTCAATGAAATGAAATGGCAGAAAAAACTCAGAGGTGAACTGAAATGCTTTTTAGTAGATTTAATAATTATTTTTTTTTTTTAGCTCAACCTGCTTTGTTTTGGGTCAGTAATTTCATGTCCTTGTGGAGTCAGATACTGTTCAACTGTGCTGTACTTATGAATTTAATTGTAGCTTGTTTTTACCCATTTGATAATATTATACCAAGTGAGTACTACAAGATGATATTGGATGGAATCAAAATACATTTTTCCATTTATAATTTTTTCAGCAATAAGTTCAACTATATCAGCACTTATTTGGGTCGCAATGGTTTCGGCACTTTTTATAGTGATAACATTGCCAAGAGAAACGGGTATAAGAACGTTAGTTGCTTCCACAATTCTCAGGATGATATATTCTGTAGGTCCAGAGCCGACTCTCTGGTTACTCGGAACTGCGACTATAGTACTGAAATGTATCCATCTTGTTAGTATAATGGGCAACCACGGGACACTTACGAAGACATATCATCAAATACTTACAGATGCAGAATTGGTATATCATCTCGCTTACCTTGTGTTTTGTTTACTTGGACTGGTTATGCATCCATTTTTCTATTCAGTTTTGGTAAGATGTGTTCCAAACTATTACAGTGCATGGGTTTCTTTAATGTTATTTTCTTTAGAGTTGTAAAGAAATGATATCCACTCTATTTCGCACATATGTATGGGATGTTTCATTTATATTATTTGCTCGCCTCAAATGAAGGGGTAAACGTCTCGGACATGTGTTTCTAGTTAAGTGGCTTCATTAGAACACACACACACACACAGTTTTCTGCTATATTTAATGTTGAATTGATAAAGTGTTTAGTATGTTCCACGATGAATTTAATATCTACTTGACTTCTGCCACAGCTAATACATTTATTTCATGAAATCTGTTGGATCATTGTTCAGGAGTTTTGGAGTATAGGTAATATTATCAGTGAAGAATAATATTTTATTTTTACTGAGGGCGGTCGAAATAGTCTTAACAGATTAAATTCCCTCAATCCAAATAATTGTATAAAAATGAACATTGTCATGTTTTGAGTTTTTTTTATATTTTTCGATTTGGATTTTTATAAATGAATATGAATGAACAATTTTTCCCTTCACCAATAATGGTTTCATAACTCTAACAGAGTATAAATAGAGGTTATGAAATGAGTACTCTGTAATAATTTTTTCTGATGATTTGGTTTCTGGAATATAATAAATGTATATTAGATTGAGAGGGGAGGTGACATGCGACCTGTTTCACTGCGACCTTTGCAGATCTATTGTGATGCTCCTTAGTTATCTCTTTATCTAGATTGTGTCTCTTCAATAAGTCTCCAAAGCCTTGATATCAGCTCCTTCATATACCTTATAGTCTCTGATTTATATACTATATATACTTTTTTAACGTGTTAGGAATCACACGTTAAAAGGTAAGACCTCGTTAATCCTTAGCTCGCACAAGTTTCGACTTCTGAGGGTTGTCATTTGTAGGGGTGCGACAGCTGGTTAATGGAAAAACATATTTTTAAAACAGATTCTTAAACAGATTTTTTGATTTTTTTTTGACAACATAAGAATTAATCTGTGCCATTTTCTTCGCCACTTCCCTATAGGCAGGTGTTTTGAGAATAGTCCTTTCAACCTCGAAATGTTTTTTTTCTGCGACATCAGGATCCATAGATGCAAATAGGTCATTTTGGTTTCATGCCATCTCGAAATTAATAATAATAATGATAATAGTAACGTCTTAAAAGTTGTTTACAAGCATCTTTTACACAGGAATACTCACCGCAGTTGACCGAGTGTTCAAACGGATATATGAGCAGAGAGAGTCGAAGAGAGGAGTCGCTGGATGTAAAGAGAACCTGCTCATCGATAGGTGAGTAACGCAGGACTCGATACAATATAAGCGTAACCTCTCTATGGCCTGGATCGATTACCGTAAGGCATTTGATACAATTTCGCATGAGCTCATCTTGCATTTGCTCAGATGCCTTGCGGTACCCCAAAATAGTCAGATGTATTGAGCAACTGATACCACTCTGGCGAACTCGCTTCACCATAACATCTGGTCAAGCCAGAGTCTAAACAGGATGGATTACTTTCAGAAGGGGTGTATTTCAGGGCGATTCCCTCAGTCTCCTTCTCTTCTGCATCTCACTATTGTCATTATACGTTGCGCTCAGAAATACTCGAGGGTATAACTGTGGCACCCCCGGAAACCGAAGGCACAAGGTCACCCATTTGTTTTATATGGATGATCTTGAACGTTATGCATCTGGAGAGAAGAGTCTCCATCAGTCCATGAGGGTGGTGGAAGAGTACACGCATGCTTTCGGTATGAAATTCGGGATAGACAAATGTGGACAATGCGGGGACTGCGGAAAGGATGTTCCGCTCGTAGATGGAAGCATTCTACACCATTTGGATACCGGAGAGACGTATACTCACCTCGGGATGGAACAACGGCACTTACAAGAGGTAACAGCAGTGAATAACTCTGTCCGCGGCAACTATCAGCACAAACTTTGAAAGATCTGGTCATCGAAACTGTCGGAGAAGAATAAAGTTGCTGCAACAAATATGCTTGCCGTTCAAATCTCACTCTACTCGTTTGGAGTCGTGAAGTGGACTCGGGGGAGCTGTAGCAACTCGACGTAAAGACCCGAAAAATGATGCATCTCTATAGGAGTTTGCATACAAAATCGTCCGTTCCACGGTTGTATTTCTCCCGACAACAGGGAGGCCGTGGATTTTTCAGTTTGCAGTGTCTACATGACATAATGGTACTGGATATAGCCTGTAAAGTCGTCAGGTGTTCGGATCCCCTTTGCTTTCCTCCGATCGAGTGGGCTGAAGTCGGAAACAGAGGGGTTCATCATGGCTTGCCAGGATGGTGTCTTCAACACCTTAGTCTACCGTAGTCGCGTGATGGGTATAGAGGTTCCTGACACAAGGTGCAGGGCCTGCCGCGAGTCCCCGAGACCCTAATGTACTTGCTATCAGCATATCCAGCATATGCGGTCTCGGACTATATCCATCGTCCTAACCTAACCCTTAGAGTGCTATATTATGAATTACGGCTCTCTTACGGTATTGACGAGACATTGGTGTTGCCCTGCGCTCCGGGGGATATTGAATCCGTTGTGGGGAACGAGAAGTGCCGAATTTATTGGAACCATTCTTTCCCCACCCTCAGGCTCATACAAGCTAATTAGCCTCATGTAGTCCTTCTCGACCACCAGAGTAAGACGATATTTGTCGTGAAGTTTTCAGTTCCTGGCGAGACGAATAGCGTCCGGAAAGAGAAGAATAACTGGTAAAATATCGGAATTTTCTCTTCGAACTCCGCATACTCAATCCAGACCACTCCGTCAAGATGGTTGTTCTGATTATTGGAGTCCTTGGGTCCTCGGACCCAATGATCACTTACCCCACGGTGTGGGGAGTAGTAATACGACTCGATGAAAATTGAATGGTAATGAGATGACGACGATTAGGAGGGTCTTACGTTTTAACGTACGTTCCAACATGTCAGAAGGATACTAAGTTGTATCTTCGTTAACCAGATTAGCAACATCAGGAGATGACTAAAGTCCATGCTCTGTTATATGAAGGTTCATTTTGCGAATTTTCGGACTCCTGAACGGAGTCCGAGTATCATGACCGACCCACCCTGTATCATGAGTCAGCCTAACTCATGATACAGGGTGGGTCGAATAATAATGATAATGGTGAAGAAACATTTAAACTTTGAAAGTGACGTCAGCGTGAGAGGTGGTGGCGTGGTAGAGAATGTGTGATGGTTTGTAAAAATGAATGAGTTTTTCAAAAAAAATGGCGCAACTGTCAAAAGGGCACTAAGTTGTATATTCGCTGATAATAATCGGATCGTCACGTATAGCACGGCAAATAAAAGGAGAAGAAATGCAAAATTCATCGACATAGAAAAAACGAAGATGGCGAAATATGTTTGAAGAGAACATCTTGGTTAATGATAGTTGGATCTAACGTGCAGCACATCAAATGAAAGAGAAACGAATGCAGGTCACTTCCGCTCATCCGATTTCAATGATTTTGACATCAATGGATTTGTTTCGATGCCAAAAGGGCCTCATCACCTATTTCCGTTATAATAGCTGTAACAGGCCGATGTCGGTATTCATTTCAAATGATTTTATTTGTTATTTTGAAAAATATAATATCGAGCGCCTAATGCGGAATGACAGAGAGAACTGCAAATTCAAAAAAATATTTAAAATACTTGAAATTCAATGTCATTGAGTTATAAATAACTATAAGTGAAATTCAATTGCAGCAGTTTGAATCACAATCAAACCAGAAGGGACCTTGAAGCTTCAGGGGCGAGCATTCTGAAATTTACAAGACACATTTTCACTATCACACTGTCACCACTAAACTGGCTAGGTTGGCGTGAAGTTGTGTGTAGTTGATGGCCGGGTGAAGACCAAAAGTAAATAATAAATAATTTCGAGCTTGAAGCAAAATGTCCTTCTTCTGATGAAATACACGACTGTAATCGATTTGTCATTGATTGTCTGATACGTTCAAAAATACCCGGAATATTCCTTATGGTAATACAATTGTCAATTATTCGATTCCTCAAGTCATTCACATCTAGTACACGAGTTTTATAAACAAGAGCCTTCAGATGATCCCATAAATAGAAATCTAGAAGATCCATATCAGGACTGCGAGCTAGCTAATTTTGAGGTCCTACACGGCCATTCCAGCGATTAGGGTAGGCGATGTCAAGATGATAAGAAAGGTGGTGTATTATACGATGAAGTGGTCATTTCTTTCATGAACATCCCATAAAAAATTCACAAAAATTTAACGCGTTGAAACGGTCATTTTGGTCACTCAACCACAGCGAAAAAACACATTTTTCAAAGCCCAACTTTTTCCAAGAACTCATATGATTTACAATGTAACGTGTCACGAAAAATGGTGTTAAAATAAGCACAGTTTCATCTCATTACGTGTCAGTTTCAAAAAATAACCATCCACAAATTTTGTAAATTTTTATTCAGTCTAACAATTGGAAATGAATTGACCAACTATAAATAAAAAAACCTTTTCTATAAAGAACAGAGATTTTTCACTTAGGATATTGAGAAAAATAGGAAATCAGTCTATTTTAGTTAAATCATTATGATTCGTAACAGCGCCACCACGTGAAGGAGGTATATTTTTCCTCTCGAATAGATGAAAATTGCTTGTAGACTGTAATTAGCGTCATGTTAGTCATGAGTGAGGGTTAATAGAAATGAAAAGGGGGATGGGTTTGGAAGTTTCTAACGTAGGGAGGAATCATTGATAAATTCAAAAAACAATATACTAGAGAATATTTATTGATATCTAATCATTCCAATAATGTTCACAATTAGGTACATTTTTCAAGTATCGAGACATTTTGCTGCTAGCAAAGTGTTTTTAATTTCTATACCTCAAATCTACTAATAATATGAATTAGTTAGTTGAACATTCATTAATGATATAAGAATCTTTTCTCAGCTGAATTGCAGCCAAATGCATATCTACTAATAATCATCAAAAGGG